AATATTTTATTTACTATGAAAGCTTCTGAGTAAAAAGAATCTGAAAAATATCTGGAAGCATATGTTTTTCTTCTAGAAAAAGGTCTTGAGAATAAACGTCCTGTGATGGGTTTAGATTTTGCTTTCTTATACTCTAGCATAATTATAAACTATAACCTCTTACCAGAAAAGATGATTTCAAGACTTTCAGAAGTAAATGCATTAAAAAGAGAAAACAAAGTACTCCATAATATTGAATTTTACTTTAATGGTCGAAACGTGTGAGTATGAACTATATGGCATGAGAATAAATCTGATCAGAAAGGTCTATTTCTAAAAATATTAGAAATTTGCTTAATATGCAGAATAAAGTAAAGGCCTAGCTAAAACTTCTCAGAAAGAAAAAGGATTATATAGAAAAAGTTAAAAGTAGAATGGATTTGACTAGTATTAGTAAATCATGATTAGTAACAAGCGCAATTGAAGATGTTTTATCCTCAATAATAAATAGAAGAAGCATGTCAAAATGGTTGATATTTTGAATCCTTTTATTAGTTCATTGTATGATAGTTTCAGTAAAGAATATAATTCCATTTGTTTTGACCATAATTCTTTGAATTCAAAGCAGAAAGTAATTAAATTATTTATAAATTCATTTTATGGTGAGATGGGCAATAATGATTTCCCATTCAAGTTTATAGAACTCATTGGAGGCGTTACTTTAGCTGAATGAAAAAATATCAAACTTGTTGCAGAATTTGTGAAAAGAAAGATTTTGGGATAAAATATGGTGATACCGATTCCCTATATTTCACTTATCCAGATTCTTGTTATGAGAAATGTGATTTAGCCTACAATGATGGGAAAGGTACAATCTTGAAACTAGAGTACTGGATTGAAATAATTAAGATTATTATAGTCATAATGGAGAAATTATGCAATGAAGTAAACACCTTTCTTAGATTAAAAACTAGATCATATTATCTTAAGATGGCTTATGAAGAAGTAGAGTTCCGAATGAGTCGAGTCGAGTCGAGTTTAAAGACCAACTCTATTCGACTCATTTTTTTCGAGTCGAG